GAAATTGTTTATTTATTTATTAGCAAAACTTTTATCAACTAGACGAGTCTTACATTTTTAGCATTATATTTTGGATTTTATTGGTTTTGAAATCTATTTAAAACTGATTAGTTTTGATGCTTCAAATAATTAAACAATGTCTAAGACAAAGTTTGTTTTCATTGATTTCATACTCTTTTTAAGGTCTTCTCTTCAGAAATAAAACTTTTATTTTATCTTCACTTCAAACATATCAAAGTCATTGATATTGGTGTTGTCCTCAAAAGAAAAATAAATTCGTTGAGGTATCATAAAACTTAAAAAACCTTAACTTTTCCAAGGACCCAACAAAGAAATGGCTTATAGATCTTATTTATAGTTTCTTTCATTAGAATTTTATGGCCTCACCTTAGCTAAATACCCCTAGATATGAAGATGCTTTATAGTAAATTTTTTTTTATCTTCTATTAATTCAAGAGATTTTAGTTTCTATTTAATTGGAAATCCTATTAACGATAATGATTGTGCCCATTATAACTCTTTTCCCATAGTAATTATTATAAAAAGATGGATTATCATACTTCCTAACCATTCTTTTGTGTTTAATTTTATATTTCAACGGCACTCTTTTGGCTTGCATCCTTACCATAATGTATTGTGAAATGAAGTCACATTCAACTAATTTTTTTTAGAAGTGTCTAAATTTTGTTCACCTAATTCAATGTACTTATTATAATATTTATAATTATGAAAGTAATGGGAATTCTAATTTTTTTTCCAAGTTTCTTACTTTAGCTTCAAAGAACTGAAATAGTTCAGTAGTTCTAGCTACTCATGTATGAAATTCAAAGACTTATAATTATAATCATTAACAAAAAAATAAAAATATTATTTAAAATTGCAAAATGTAAATATGAGTGGGTTACAAATACTAGTATGAATTAATTTTAAATGTTTTAATTTATATTGATACTAATGTTTTAATAAAGAATTCTTTTCAGTTAAAATAATTAATATAAGTTTTTAAAAATTGGAAAACTATAAGAACCGAGAATTTCATCTATACAAGTATTTCAATTCCTTACTTAAAAATATGTTCTAAATTTGAGCTACAAATGAATCAAGTTGAGAGATGAACAAGTGGTTGTTTAAGCTCATACATGTACACCAAAAGCTTCTCTGGTTGATGCTTTTTCAAGCATCAAGTTTTTATCGAGTCCTTGGGTTTTTTTGGGGCAGCTGTTACTGTTTGAAGAAACAGTTGTGAAGTTGCTGCAGAAGAAACTGTTTATCAGGAAATTGTGGTGGTTATTACAAATTTATTTTAATTTCAAAAAGTCAGATTGTATCTTTCTGACAGACACCACATTTTAATATTTTAGGTTGAAAAAAATAACTTTCTACCACCGAAATTGGTAAAAAACTGTAAGAAAATGTTCTTCAAATAGAATAGTGGTGGTGGTCTGAAAAGCAAATCAGACAGAAAGGTGTCTCAAATAGGCCCTTAATTTGGGTTTGGTTTGACTCGGATTGGACTGATTTTAGTACTGTTAGGTTTATCTCATCGATCTGGTCAGTTTGACTGTATGTTTGTTAAAATCGGAGTTATGGATGATTTTTAATCGAAATTTGAACTTATTTTGCTAAAGAAATTATCTCGAGAACTATCTCATCCTTGGGGATTTGTGTTGGATTATGAGAATTTGTTGAAGGCATATCACCTATAAACCTCTCAATTCCCAAGTATCTACATATCTAATTAACACCCAGATTTTAATTTTTACCTATAGATTTTGCCTTAATTATGCATGATAATATGCATTTTACTTTTTATAATTCATAATAGTGATTTTTTTTTTGGTGATCTGAAAGATTAAGGTGATATAAATGTAAGAAAAAGTAAAATTTATATACTAGATATGTAAACAAGTTGAAGTTTTATGGAATGCATTTAAAAGATTTTGCCCTTGTAAAAGCCAGTCAGTCGATATATTTCATTTTTTTCTTTTGTTTTGCACTATAAAATCAAAGATCGGAAAGTAAAATTGACAAACCATTTTATCCAAATGATTAAAAGCATTCTCTCCTTTTTTTAAGTTGAGCAATTAAAAAAAGTAACAATCAGCTGAATGAATCACCCCATCAATATCAATTTTAACCTTAGTTAGATCAGAATCCGTACAATCTAAACAAGAAGTGAAAACAGTTGAGTGAGTGAGTGATAAAGAGTATCCCTTCCGTGCGCATGCAACGCTTTGCTATTTAATAAAGGGAATTAAGCAAACTAGTCGCCGATTGCTAAGTATCTGATACCCTACAGGCCATATCAGTATAACAGAATGTCATTCAACTCGATAGAAACAAACAAATAATCTGAAGCTAGCGTATCGAATGGGTGAACCCCATGTGTTCGTCAACATCCACCCCATCCCCTCCTTCTGCCGCCATAAAAGCTTCATGAAAGGATACGAGGCCATCCACGACGCTATCCGTCGCAGCGATGTGTTCTTCCTTCGTAGGTATCTCAAAGAACGGGCTCAGAAGAAAGAAGCAATTGAGGAGAGTTTGCAGAAGCTCGAAGGCCAGTACTACTCTGCCGTAAACCTATCAGGAGACCCACTCCTCAGTGTCCTCATCTCCTACAGGAAGACCGAGCTGGCCAACAAGTTGCTTGAAGATATGGACGAGGAGAGCCTTCTGGAAGCCAATCTGCAGGGGAACACTGCCCTCCATGTTGCGGCGGCCGTCGGCAATAAGATGATGGGAGTTGCTGACAGGCTGATCCGTAAGAATAAGGAGCTCCTGAATACGAGGAATAAGGACAACGAGACGCCGCTGCTGAAGGCTGCGTTGCATGGGCAGCGAAACATTTTTTGGATGATGTACGAACGTGGCGATCGTGACGCCATTATAGATGTTAAAAGGAAGGACGGAGCCAACGTTTTGCACTGCGCTATCATGGGCAATGCTCCGAGTGAGTTCTCGATCTTAAGCTTTGTTTCAGAATTAGCTGAACTTTCATTCAGTTATACGAACTTACTCATTAAAAAAAATTCATGTTTGGGGAATGAAACTTCTCCGAATGTTGCAACTTTTGAAGGAAATTCCCTTAATTTTGGCTGCCACCGCCTTGCCTGGACTTAATTGAGAGCAAAATGAGAGATTATTGTAATTTGGAGTGAGTTATATGTTCCATGTTGCAGGACTGGCATTGGAGATAGCGGAGAGTTTTCCACATCTAAGAAGAAGGCGGAACGCGGCTGCGGTGACTCCCCTCCAACTTATGGTGACAATTCCAGGAGCATTCAAGAGTAAATTGGAAATCGGACCGTTGGATTCCTTCATCTACAACTGTGAGAATTATTTAACACTCGCGCTCCTCCTGAAGAATATTATAAATCCTTTTAAAATAAATTTATCTTGATTGCGAGTAATTCTAATAGTTTAAAACCATCAGGTATACCATTTAACGAAGGAGACGGGAGAGGGAGTGGTGCGGCTTCCGCTATCGAAAATGCTTATGACCTTGGCCTGGTAACTTGAAATTGTACATATAAAATATTAAAAATTGTTTCATAATGAAATACAATAGAAATAAAATTGTGAATATAATATACTTCAAATTTAATCGATTGATTGATTTGAGATGGTAACTTGCTTCTACATGAGCCACGCGTTCTTTCATCGTCTTCAATTCTTCCCGAACTAGTACAAGTTCTTTAGTCTCCCTCAACTTCTCGTAAGCAAGCACTGATCCATCCTTTAAGGTCCTTCTATGTTTGGGAGATTGAACAACCTGAGAAACAAATACGAGTGTTGTCACCGACTGTTGGATTTCAACATTGATCATCGACTCACCCTCCGCTGATGATCCTTCAAATACTTTGAGCTCCGCCCCAAAAGTCCTTTCATCATTAATATTGAGATCCATTATAACAAGTTCACACGTGAACTCTAAACTCTAGCACTCATAATCATGGTATCACTGAGCCAAAGATTACCAAGTGACTTATATTATATTCAGGTATGAGCTCGCCAGTAGGCGATCTTGTTCCAATCGTCAAGCCTATAGTGTGTTTCATTATCTCTCCTATTCCTTCATCAACGGGATCGTCATTAGGGAGAGTTGTTTGGTTAGGCAGTTGATCGACTGATACCTTTACAGTAATGCATCGAGATGGATAAATACAAATCTTAGAAATAAAAGCAAAGCATGTGAGAGGACATAAGAAAGCTCCGTCAGAACCACAAAGTTGGATCTTTTACCAGCCATCTAAGGGATATGAAATTTGAGCCCCCGTGAAAACCTTCGGCTTTAGTTATGTTAGGTATGACTCGTATATCATAAATGGGACAGATGATGGAGCGGAGTGGAACCCGCGAACAGAGTGGAGAGGGAGTATCTGCCCAATCAAGGGAGCTCATTATGTGAGTTTGGGGTGCGGGGGCAATACCCCACGGTTTGGTACAGGGATAATTTAAGTAATTACATATTGTACTTTAGGGTTATATATATGTTTGTTTGTAATCCTAGGGCCTGTAATCCTAGGTGGGCTGAATTCTGTATTCTGTATTCTTTTCTGAATATTGAAAAGGAAGTCGTCACTCTGCTCTCGAGGATGTAAGCATCTTTGTCGAACCAAATTAAATCTCTGTGTGTTCTTCTGGATTTGTGTCGATTCCTATTTTTCTTCGTCATAATTTCTCAACAAGTGGTATCAAAGTGAGGTTCTAGGGCATGAAAGAAAAATTTCGGCAGTACAGGAACAAAAAGGATTTTGGCCGGGGAATTCGGCGGTTAGGGCTTCGGATGGATCAGCAGAGGAATTGCTCTTTGGCGGTTTGTGTCTTCTACAATGCCGAGGGGTCTGCGAGCAGAAGATTCGCATGACGATTTGCTTGTGCATTTCTACGAGTAGGAGAGTCGCGAGGACAAAGGATTCGCGTGAATCAGTGAACAACAACCATTTGAGCGGCAAGTTCGCTACCAGAGCAGGCGAGCGGCAGAGGAGCAGAATTGGAATGGCGGACGAGGAAAAAGGAAATTCACGACAAAAAGGAAAGTCTACATAAAAGGAAATTTAGCGCAGAGATATTCCGGAGATTTTCCATGACTTAGCATAGGCAAGAGAATGGAATCTGCTGCTACACTTGGGAAAGAAAAGATTTCTTTCTAGAATGAAAGCGGAGGTGGAGCTTTTTTGGAGGGAAAACAAAAACGAAGCTTTTCTAAGAAATAAAACAGAGCTTTTCTGTAAGGAAAAAATATGTTTTTCTGGAAAGCGGAGGTGATGCTTTTCTTTGAAGTTTAAAGAAAATGATTTCTGAAAAGTTTAATTAAGGAAAATTTTTTTTCTTGAAAATTTAATCAAGGGAAATTCCTTTTTCTTAGAAATTTAATTAAGGAAAAATTAATTAAGGAATCTTAATTAAGAGATTATTTAAAAGGACTTATGACCCAACCCACATTTGTGTATAAGAAACTCCATGATGTATTTTCTCCTAAGGGCTGGACATTCGCAAGGTGGAGATTTTCTCCTAAGGGGCAGAATGTTCGCAAGGTGGAGATATTTCTCCTAAGGCCAAGGTAGATATTTGTTGCGTATATGTATTTCTCCTAAAAAGGCTGGATATTCGCCAAGGTGGAGATTTGTTAGGTATGACTCATAATACCAAAATTTGGAATCTCTTGGAATGAAGAGATGTCTCTTGGAATTGAAGAGGTGTGTCTCTTGGAATTTAGTGGGTTGGGGGGAGCGAACGGAAGCGTGGTGACCCAACCCACATTGGTGCATAAGAAACTCCATGACATATTTCTCTTAATGGGCAAGATATTCGCCAAGATGGAGATTTGTTGGATATATGTATTTCTTCTAAAAGGGCTGGATATTCACCAATGTGGAGATTTATTAAGTATGACTCATATACCATAAATGGGATAGATGCTGGAGTGTAGCGGAGCCCACGAGCGGAGTGGAGCGGAAGGATCTGTCGAATCGGGGGACTTTCATTATGTGGGTTGGGGGTGTGGGGGCAACACCGCGTGGTTTGGTACATGGGTAATTTAAGTAATTACATATTGTACTATATTGTTATATATATGTTCTGTTTGTAACCCTAGATGAGTCTCTAAGCCTCTGAAATTTTGAGATTATGAATTTTGTATTTTGTATTCTTTTCTAAATATTGAAAGGAAGTCACCGCTCTGCTCCTGAGGATGTAGGCATCTTTACCGAACCTCATAAATCTCTGTGTGTTATTATAGATTTGTGTCAATTCTTATTTTTCTTCGCCCTAATTTCTCAAGAAGTTACTTGTTCCTTAAAGATAAGATTTGGAGCAGGCGGTGCTAGCATTTTTTTTAAGCTGCTTCATTCGAATCAGTTCCCAAAACAAGGATCACAGTCGAAATATTTTCTGTAGGATGATCCAATATTTCTTCCCCCTCAACAGTCTTCGAGCTCTCAACCTCGTCATCCTTCCTTTTCAAATCTTGATCTTTCATTTTTGTCATTTTTGTTGAAGGATCACTGTGAACCTGTTCTCATGAATATCCATCTCTTCTTTTGACATCTCTCAATTAAGTCTCTCTGAAAAGAAAGGAATGTGAAGGCATAGGTTTTGATTTATGGCTTTGACAAGGCTCGCACGACTATTATATACCACACATTGAGTTGACGTATAATATTTTGTTGATGAAGAGAATCGCTTAACACTTGCAGGCCGAAGGATAAAACTACCAATTCCGCTGCAATAGAAGCTCACCACGAGCAACACAAAGAACCAAATGCTAGCTTAAAGAACTCTGAACAAGAAAACAAGAATGTAACCAAGAACACCAAAAACACATAAGAATTACGTGATTCGGTGCATAGAACCTAAATCAATGGTAGAGAAATTAACCATCAAATCTATTGAAGCAGTAAAGAAGATTTACATAGCTTTTACATTGAGAATTGAGCTCTCATTTTGCCATGATCTCTCTCACAAACCATCTTGATACAAGATCTACAAGATTCTCTCCTCACTCTCTACAAGCTATCCTCTTCTTTTTCCAACAAACTGATTTTCTTTCCTCCCTCATTCCCTACAAGTGCTCCTCATTATTTATAACTGATGAGTCTTGCACAAGTAGACCCAATTCTTCTATGGAAGCTTCCATAATTCTTTAATAGCTTTCATAGAATTACAAGTATGTCCCTTGCCTCGGTCTAATAATTGTGAGTCATTGTAACAATTCTCCAACTAGACTCTCAATTACTAAATCTTTCTTGAATAGAGATTTCCTCCATCTAGCCCAGAGGGGCCCTCAGCCCTTGGTGAGTATATAGGAAGTCGTTCTTCTCTTTCTCGGACATCTTAGCAAGCAATGTCGTCGACAGTTGCAAAGCTTTTGCAATACCTTGCTGCACCAATATAGCTCTCATCTTGACTCTCCACAGGCCAAAATCATTCTTTTCGGTGAATTTATCAAAGTCAAATTTGGCGGTTCCCATTGTCGTGGCTAGGACTCCCACAGACGACGTCAATTGTTGAAGAAAACAATAGAACCGCCTAACACCTGCAGGCCAAAAGATGAAACTACCAATTCCTCTGCAATAGAAACTCACCACGAGCAACACAAAGAACCGAATGCTAGCTTAAAAAACTCATAACAAGAAAACAAGAATGTAACCAAAAACACCAAGAAAATCCAAGAATTACCTTGTTCGATCCATAGAATCTACTTCCATGGCAGGAAAATCAACCATCAAATCCACTAAGGCAATAAAGAAGATTTACATAGCTTTTACATTGAGAAATGAGTTCTCATCTTGACATGATCTCTCTCTCAAACCGCCTGGATACAAGATATCCAAGATTCTCTCTTCACTCTCTACAAGCTATCCTCTTCTTTCTCCAACAAACTGATTTTCTTTCCTCCCCCTTCCCTACAAGTGCTCCTCATTATTTATAACTAATAAGCCTTGCATAAGTAGACCCGGTTCATCTATGGAAGCTTCCATAATTCTTTAACAGCTTTCATAGAATTATAAGTATGTCCCTTGCCTTAGTATAATAATTGTGAGTCAACAACAAATCAAAGAGCATTAGGAGTATCCACATGGCTCCAATTTTTGATAAAATCACATTTATTCTCTAACAAGGAAAAATATCAAAATCATTGTATTCTCTTTAACAGGGAAGTCTTAAACTCTTCTTTATGTACTATCTTTCTTCACTTCCTTGGAGCACGGACCTCTTAGTGATGGAGATAAGTCACTTCTATCACCTCTCACTCAATAACATGTGTTCTCTCCTAGGGTAGCCCGACTAGAAGAAATTATTCTACACCCTAGGTAGGTCCTAAAAAGAGAATTAGTAGCTTCCACTACCTTAAAAGTAAAGACCCGAGGGCGAAATCAACGGGGCGAAATCAACCTATTTTTTAAGGGAAGCAAAGTGTCCCCCTAGATTCAACGTTGAAGTGGTTAGGGCAACAATGGACAAAGTAAAATTTTAGGAGAGAAAAAAAACTAAATTGCCCTTTCAAAAAAATTTGGCACCTGAATGGCATACAGTCCGCAGTAACTGAAAGCCATCGTTACTAGTAATTGTAGGTGTAGCTCCAAAGCCCCCAGCAGAAGGAAAGTTCAAGCTTGTTGGTGGTGTAAAGTGCCATTTCAATTGAGTATGAATAGGTCTCTTATCGAATCCCAATCGGGCAGAGCTGTTGTTGTAATCCTATCATCTCTCTAGTGATGTACAAAGCTAATAAACTTTCTTCTCATTCTCTTATTCTTCGCATACCATATGTTCGAAGAATTAAGACAATCGAGGAACTGAATATGCATATAAAAGTAGAATGTGCATGCTATTATGAAAGCCCAAACACGAAATAGACCTTTTGGGCCTAATGGATCGAGCCCGTTTATCACTCACCTGAAGACATATTGTATTCGCAAAGCCCATGTACCAAAGTCACTACTAGAAAACTCGTCTCTCATAATGACTTGGTGAGCTAGCTAGTACTCATCTAGCTCCTCAATCGAGGTTGTCTGTACTCTTCGAGATTTTCCACCAAGCTTGTCATCAAGCTCTTTCACCAAGCTTGCCTATACTCACCAAACTATATGAACGATGTCACTAAAAAATCCTTTAAGGTTGCATGAGAGATGCAAAGAAGCGAAATCCTATCTATCACTGTCAATTCCAATTTTTGGGTCGTATGACACCGATGACCGTATTCCATTAGATACAACTCTTAGTTGTCTTCATACAACACGACTTTGGGTGTAGCAATTCTTTATTTCTTTTCCTTAATGTATCCGTGCAAAAATAAAGGCACCCAATGAGATGTATAGATAAAAAAAAGTTCTTTTCTTTGTTGCTTTCCACTTTCTTCAATTTATAAGGTCTCTCTCCCAACATATATGGATTCAAGATGAAACAATACTAGATTTTACATCCTAAAAGAATTTAACAAATAGTAATATGGAAAAGCTAAGAGTGCCTCACTTTCATGGCTTTTTCTCGAGCAAAAGAAAAAGAAGAGTCAATAATGATTTCTTAATATTTTTTATCCTTCATTTTTCATTATGCTATTGAGATGTGCAGCCTGTAGCTGAGAATCAACAAG